AGACACAAATTCCCCATGAGAAACCCCTGGGAGGGACCCCAAATGCAGCCACAGACACAAATTCCCCATGAAAAACCCCTGGGAGAGGGAGGAGTATGTTGGGAGAGCTGCTCAGGGAATGTGGGGCTGTTTGCAGGTGACCCCAAACGCAGCCACAGACACAAATTCCCCATGAGAAACCCCTTGGAGTGACCCCAAACATCCACAGACACAAATTCTCCTGCAGAAACCCCTGGGAGTGACCCCAAACATCCACAGACACAAATTCTCCTGCAGAAACCCCTGGGAGTGACCCCAAACATCCACAGACACAAATTCTCCTGCAGAAACCCCTGGGAGTGACCCCAAACATCCACAGACACAAATTCCCCATGAGAAACCCCTGGGAGTGACCCCAAACATCCACAGACACAAATTCTCCTGCAGAAACCCCTGGGAGTGACCCCAAATGCAGCCACAGACACAAATTCTCCTGCAGAAACCCCTGGGTGTGACCCCAAACATCCACAGACACAAATTCCCCTCCCAGCACCAGGGAGCCACAGCCCCAGGCTCCCTCAGGTGATTCTCCACATCCCATATCCATGTTCTCCACACTCCTCAGCAGTTTGTGCTTCCTTCCCATCACATTTCACTTCCCAAGAACCTCTTCCTCCCCATCCCTTCTGCCCAAAGCAGCAGGCACAGAGTTCTGGCCTGTAAATGAGCAGAGCTCAGGGTTTTAACTCCGCTTTTGTAATGCCACCGCACCAAAATCGGGGTTTCTTTGTTAAGACAATGCTTCCATTTTAAGCCCTTGTCTATTTTTTTTTCTTTTTTGTCCTTCTGTGGAGTAACTTGTTGTTTGTCAGAGCCTGGTTAAATGCTCCCGCTGCCTCAGGGCTGTGGAGTGTTTCACCACAGACAGATCAGACCCCATGTCACAGTTCTCCAAATGTCAGAAAATTAATTATGGCCTCTTGCCAGCCCCTTCCCTCTCCTCCCAGTCTGCTTAATGTCAGATTTAGAGACTCAGAGCAGGGAACTCTCCCGCTCCTCCCTCCTTCCCAGGAGGGAAATCTCTGTCCCAGGGGGAATTTTGCTGAGAGGGAAATGAGCTGATCCACAGAGGGAAATCTCTCCCTGCTCCACACCTGGCCTTGGGCTCCGTGTCCTTCTGCTCTTGCCCAACTCAGTGTCCCAGAGCCAGAATCCTCGTAAAGCACTTTATGAAATGCTCAGTTCTCAACCTGCTGATCCCTTAGGATGGGGCAGAGTCCCTCTGCAGCCCTGGCTCTGAGCTCTGAGTTTCACCCTGACTGTGGAGGGGCTCCTGCTGCCCTCTAAAACAGGAGAAAAACCAGATTAAATGAACCCCTGCTACATTAACAGGAGTTTTCCAAGGGATTTTGTCTGTTGGTTCATCTGTACCCAGACAAATCAGGAATTCCTTGTGAGGGGAGATGAGAAATATTTTCATCTCTTTATGTCCCCAGCCTGGTAAAGATCCACCCTCACCTAAACACATCCATGCCCAACCATTTCTCTTTATTTTCCAGCTCCCCACTGGGTGAATTTCCAACTTCACGCTGTAAACACAGCCCCAAGTGCCGCAGCACATCTGCCTGCTCTCCATATTTTCAATCCTCACTCTTTATCACTAAATATTCTGCTATCAAGACTCCAGCACTTGATCTCACTCCAGGATTTGAGAGTGCTGGTACACGGAGTTCCTTTGTGTGAGATGAGACACTTAACCTTTGCAAAGAGAAGAGCTGCTTTTAATCATTCCTTCTGATTTGCACACACAGAGCATGAAGCCTAACCCCTACAAACATTCCAGGCTTTTTGTGGAGTGTTTTTTATTTTCCCCTCCTCCAGCACTGCATTTACCATGCAGTAAATGCCATTTACTTTCCATTTGTTTCCATTCAAAGTTTGAAAGTGGGACTTTGGCTGCAGCCCTCCCACGGCTGAGCTGCACCAGCAGAAGTGGTCAATCCATCAGCAGAGCTCTGGAACGTGCTGCAAACGAAATAAATAAGGGCAAACCCGCTCCCTTTGGATGGGATGTGTGGAGAGAGGAGGAGGAGAGGGGGGGAGAGCAATTTGTTTAATGGATTTTATTGATTTAGAGATTAAAATACTCCTGGGGGTTAGATACGGCGAGACCCTGTTTTTCCACTGCAAAATCACAATCACTTACAGGGTCTTTGTGGAAATTCAGAAATTAAATGGAGCTCAATCCCAGGCACTGTCAGCTGGAAGCAGAGAGGTCCTTGAGGGACCTTTCCAGCGCTTTCTGAGCCTTCCTGGGAAGTTTTTTTCCCCCACCCCCAGTGAAAACCTCCCCTGGGCCAGCCTGAGTCCTTTCCTTCTTCTCCTGTCCATGAGAAGGGAGCTCCCCCTGTCCCTCTGCCCCCTTTGATCCCGGGGCTGCAGGAATTGGGGTTTGGATGCTGCTCCCTGACCCCTCCTTGTTCCAGAGGAGAGGGTGGGAGGGCTGAGAGCTGCCCTGTACACCAGCAGCCAAATTTAGCTGTCACAGCCAATGTTTGTGGGTCAGACCCTTCCGTGCTCCCTTTTCTCCTCCTGGAAAATGGGGATAATTGCAGCAGCACTGTGACATTTATGGCTGAAAAGCTGTGCACATGTGTAAAATGCAGAGGAGGGTTATTATGTGTCTTATTTACACAGGAGAGGATTCCCAAAAGAGAAGGAAAAAACCACATCAATGCCTTGCTTGGATTTCTAACGAGCTGATTCCACTCAGTGCATTCCAAGTATCAGTAACAGGATCCAGCAGTAAATATGCCCTGCCTGGAAAAGTTCAGGATAAAGGGACCAAAGCAATCGATTTATTTCCTTTTTTTTTCAGAGCTCTTTGCAGCTCCTGCCTCCTTCCTTCATGTGAGATCACAGAGCCTCTTCCCCTGCCCTGCAGACAATGGGATCCTGGAAGAGACAACGTGGATAAAAAGTGAGAGGAAGGGTTGCATCTGTCTTGTTAATGATGTTGTATTCCCTGTGTGGTCATCAAAAGCTGCCACCACCTGTTCCCACCTGCTTTGTTCTCTCCTTCCTGAGCCCAGCACATCCAACCTCCCGCCACAAGGGCTGGAAATCACAGTTACTTTCCTTTAAAAGCAGAGGTTCCTCAGGGTTCCAGTGGGATCCCACCTCTGTTATTTAATTATACCCAAATAATACCATTTTAAAGGGATTTAAAGTGCTTGAGAAGCCCATCAGCGGCACAGGTATAATCAGCAGTGCAGGAAAAGGAGCTGAAATCCCAGGGTCACAGCCCAGCATGGCACAAACGGAGATTATTCACAGGAGTGTGCAGTGCCAGGACAAGGGGGATGGCTTCAGGGTGCCAGAGGGCAGGGATAGTTGGGAAATTGGGAAGGAATTCCTCCCTGTGAGGGTGGGGAGGCCCTGGCACAGGGTATTCCATGGGTACCCCATCCCTGGCAGTGCCCCAGGCCAGGCTGGATGGGTTTGGAGCAACCTGGGACAGTGGGAGGTGTCCCTGCCATGGCAGGGGTGGCTCTGGATGAGATTTAAGCTCCTTCCAACCCCAGCCATTCTGGGATTCAGCGATTCTCTGATTCTTTTTGTCCTATTGCAGCTTTTTGCAAGGTGAGGCCACTTGGCTGCGGGGATGACAACTTTATATTTAAGTCAGGGGCAACTCTATCACCTCCTTGTACGTTATGCATCAAACATTAAAGAAAAACCAAGATTTATTCATTTCAGGTTGTTCTGCAGAGCCTGGGGCCAGCAGGTCCAGGAAAGCTGGGCTGGAGGCTGCAGAATATCCCAGGAATTTCGCTGGAGGGAGCAGGAGAGGGGATGCAGACATTAGGAACACTTTTATTGCTTTGCACTTGTAGCCAGCACTTTACCTGCACAGTTTGCATTCCAATAAATTTTTCATCTTGGGTTTATCTCCTGTAGGAGCGAGGTCTGAGAGAGGCAAAGCTGCATCTCCAAAGGGCTGCATGTTTTTTTAAACAGAGGCACTTTGAGCTGTTAGTCAGGAAAGATGAATTTTAGATCTGTCTTTGCCATCGACCTACAGCAGCTGCTTCCTTTCATCTGTGCTATCCAGCTCCCAAAACCTCCATCGTGTGGCTGAGGACTCCTCTGCCAGGTGAGAATTTGTCTCAAATCCTTGAGGGGAAGGGAGAGGAAGGGTGAGTCCATCACCCCAGTTTGTTCTCACCTCAGCCAGGCCCCTCTGAGTCTGCACCCAGGGCTGGTTTGTCTGGATAAACCCACAGGGACAGTCTGGATCCTGCAGCTCACCTGCCAGAGTCATCTGAGTTCCCTCTGCTCCTGGAGCAGCTGAGTGGGGTTTTGGTGTGACTGGGTCACAGAAAACCCTCTTTGTGTCTCTGTGAGCCCAGAGCTGAGCCCAGCTGCTGCTGCCCAAAGGCCAGCCTCAGACATTCCCTGGGCAGGATTGTCCCAATCCCAGGGCATCTCAGACATTCCCTGGGCAGGATTGTCCCAATCCCAGGGCATCTCAGACATTCCCTGAGCAGGATTGTCCCAATCCCAGGGCACACCCAGACATTCCCTGGGCAGGATTGTCCCAATCCCAGGGCATCTCAGACATTCCCTGGGCAGGATTGTCCCAATCCCAGGGCACCCTCAGACATTCCCTGGGCAGGATTGTCCCAATCCCAGGGCATCTCAGACATTCCCTGGGCAGGATTGTCCCAATCCCAGGGCACACCCAGACATTCCCTGGGCAGGAGCAGGATTGGCCTCTGAAAGGGGCCTTGTCCCCAGCTCTCCTTCTTGTCCCCAGGGCCAGAGCCTGGGTCAGCCCTGGGGTCCCCCCAGGCAGGGTCACCCTGGCTGAGCTCCCACTGGTGGGATGGGAAATGAGACCTCTCAGGGCTGAGGGATGGACGATGAACCCTCTCAGGGCTGAGGGATGGACAGTGAACCCTCTCAGGGCTGAGGGATGGACAGTGAACCCTCTCGGGGCTGAGGGATGGACAGTGAACCCTCTCAGGGCTGAAGGATCGGTGATGAACCCTCTCAGGGCTGAGGGATGGACAGTGAACCCTCTCAGGGCTGAGGGATGGACAGTGAACCCTCTCAGGGCTGAGGGATGGACAGTGAACCCTCTCAGGGCTGAGGGATGGACAATGAACCCTCTCAGGGCTGAGGGATGGACAATGAACCCTCTCAGGGCTGAAGGATCGGTGATGAACCCTCTCAGGGCTGAGGGATGGACAGTGAACCCTCTCAGGGCTGAGGGATGGACGATGAACCCTCTCAGGGCTGAGGGATGGACAGTGAACCCTCTCAGGGCTGAAGGATCGGTGATGAACCCTCTCAGGGCTGAGGGATGGGTGATGAACCCTCTCAGGGCTGAGGGATGGGTGATGAACCCTCTCAGGGCTGAGGGATGGACAGTGAACCCTCTCAGGGCTGAGAGATGGACAGTGAACCCTCTCAGGGCTGAGGGCAGCAGTGCCAGCCCTGTGCCCTGGCCATCGACAGGGGCCTCCCTCAGGCTCTGAAGGAGCCCAGGCTGTGCCCTGACAGCCACTGGGGCATGGGGGCATTTCAGACCCCAACTGTGGCACCTGCTGAGAGCCAGAACTGCGATCACTGAGTGCTCCAGACGCCTTTCTCACACTTGGAATGCACCTCCTCTCCTTGCTCTGAACCAGACATGTACTTACACATCTCATTTACATAGTGCATTAAATATTGAAGATTTGCTGTAATGGCCTTCTATTTTCCCAGCCAAAAACCCCAAGAAATGATTGTTTTCCCTCCACAAGGCTGAAAACAGAGGATCACTTTAAGTGATCTGTTGTGCACAACCTTGCAATTACACGAGAGCTGAACAATGCCTGTGAGGAAAGGGACTGGACCGGGCAGGTTGAGCCTGTCTGCTTTAAATTTGGCTGGAACAGCCCAAATCAGCAGAGGCTCCTTTCATGTTCAACAGATGCGAGAAGAACCTTCCTCGTTTCCATTCCTGCACGGTTCATTGTAATGTGATCTTCATTCCTGCAGCTCATTAGTGATGCACAACCTGCTGGAGGTGGCACGGGGAGCTGGCAGCTCTGGGGCCCGATTCCAGCGGGGGCTGAGCAGCTCCAGGGGGAATCTGCAGATCCATTGTGAAAAACGAGGTTCACATAATTTTTATAGAATTTAAAAGTTTAATTAAAAAAAACAATTAGGAGAAAAAAATAAAGTAAAGTATGCAGATATGGCCAGGTGTCTCTGCATTCACCTCACTGACAAAGGATTGTCCCTTAAAAACAGAATCCTGCTACATATCCATAAATTCTCATACATATCCATAAATTCTCATACATATCCATAAATTCTCATACATATTCAGACATTCTTCTTAGGATCTTTGGTGTTCTTCTGTTTAGTTTTCTCTTGCCCCCTTCCCAATAGATCAATCTTCTTGAGATTTACATTCCCTGATACCAGAAATGCAATAAATTCCTCCCCCCAGAGTTCTGGTCACTGCTGTCTTCATCTGGATAAGAGAGTTTGCAAAAGGAAAAAAGATCTCCAGCTATCTTTTTCAGTCTTTGGGTTACACAAACAAAAGTAGTTTTTGTTTTAATGCTATGTCATAGCCTAACATACATGTGTTCTACCACTATTTCTAAGTTTCATTAACAACAGAAATAAAAAAGACTATATTATTACAGCTAAATTTTCTAATCTTATACATACAATATTCATTATAATACTTGCGAAAAGCCAATAATATGATATGCATTTATAACATCCATCTTGTGCAAATCACAAACAATTCCCGTGGCCATCCCTGGGAGCGTCCGAGGCCGGGCTGGCTGGGGCAGCCTGGGACGGTGGAAGGTGCCAGGGCAGGGTGAGATGGGCTTTAAGGTCCCTCCAGCCCAATCCAAGGAGTGTTGGGGTACAAATGTCCTTAATTCCAGTGGAAAAGGCACCATGGCAGGGGGGCAGGAGGGATGCATCCATCAGAGCTGGGCTGGGGTGAGGCCAGTGCAGAGTAACGAGAGGGGAACGGGGCTCCAGAGCTCCCAGTGCCACTGGAGACCCCTTACAAATGATTTTGCTCTTTCAGTCATTAATTTTTTATGAAGTTTAATAGGCCTGCAGCCTGGAGACCTGCCTGGGTGTTGATTAGCTTCATATTTCCTCTCATTAATGTAGAATCTGATTAGCCCCTGTTACAAGCATTTCATCTGATTTGGCGAAGAGCATTGTTCTGATAGCAGGAATTACAAGTTTACTTCCTTGCAGGAGACAAAGCCTCTGCCTGCTGAGAGCCCCACACCTCCCAGCCCTCTTCCCACAGGCCTTGTGCCCAGGGGCTGTGCGTGTTTAAATCTGGGGGTGGTTCAGGACCTGCAAACCCTCACAGGGATTTGTTTTTTGGCAGCCTCTCAGCTTGGAGCAGAGGTGACACAAAGCTGCTGATGGCCTGGGCTGCCCAAAGCCACCACCCTGCACCCAAAGGCCTGCTCAGGCCAGGGGCCATTCCACAAACACATATAGAAATATGTAAAAGAAATCCATCCTCACGCCCAGCTTTTTGCTGCAGCCCTGACCCTCCCTTTGTGCAGAGGAAAAGAAGTTTTATGAATGACCTGAGCAATTCCAGCTAATGGCTGGAGCTGCAAAGCACCCCTTGTGATCCCAGGGGAATAATATCTCAGCAGCCTGAAGGAGCCTTTTCCCCGTCTGCCACTGTTATGGATGTCCTCAGTTACCAGGGATATCAGGGCTTCAGAGCAGGCATTAAGGGAGATTGCTTGGGTCATTATTAATTATGCAGATTCTCCATCTTCTTCTGTCAGAACACAGGAGTTAAATAAACACAAATGGATCAAACTGCTGTGCGATAGAAACTTTATGTTAATATAGCAAAAGGGCCGGTGGGAGGCGGCTCTGCCATCAATCTCTGAGCACTCAGGGGATCAAACATTTGCTTCTGCTCTCCAGGTGCTGAGGTGGGAAGGGCTTTTATGGCAGCCCAGAGGGCACTGGCACCGGTGTGGGCATGAAATGCACTCCTGGGTGCCTGGCCTGAAGGGTTTCTGCTTGGGTTTGACAATTCCAAGAGAAGTGACCTCAGAGGGAGCTGGGGACACCAGCAGGACATCGTGGGCAGTCCTGCCTCCCTGGCTTCTGTTCAGAGATTGGAGTTTGGACAGCTGACCTCATTTCACTCAGGAACAGGGATCCCCTGGAGAGTGAGAGGGACCCCAGATCCCCAGAGTTCAGTGTGGGAGGTCACTCTGTGTCCAGTGTCCCTGCTGTGCAGCCAGGGAATGAACTCGGGGCGTTCTGCCCAGCAAACAGCCTCAAACACAAAATTCCTGGCTTTGGGAAAGAAACCAAACCAGAACCACTGGCTCTGGCTGGCTGGGAGCTCCATCCCAACTCCAGGAGAGCAGAAGGTGAATTCAGGAGGGAATTGCTCAGCAGCACAGGAGGAGGAGGAGGAGGCACACCATGAAGAAGCAGAGCTTTCCAAGGAGGGTGGATGGACACTTGTGCCTCAGATCTGCTTCCTCTGCAGCCTTGCATGAGGCAGCGAGCTCTGCTCCAGCCCATTTATCTCTTTCAGCTTGTGGCAAGGCGCTCTCTCCTGCGCTGCCAAGCAAGCTGGGTGTCAAATCACTACAGATGTGCATAATTCAAGCTGGCACAGAAACTGATGGCTTTTGCATTGGACATGTTTATTTTCTTCTTGCAAGGCTTAAGCATGTCATTTGCTGTCACACATGCCCTTGTGAAATCTTGGCAAGAAATCAATTTGATTTTCAATGTCAAGCAGCTTTCTTTAATGTCTCCAGATAAGGTTTGTGTGCACTCGGTGCTGCGGGAGTTATGGATGTACCACCTGGGGTCAACAGCACGGAGCTCTCCGTGAAATCCTCCTGCACAATATTTCAAGCAACTCTCGGCAGAGCTCTTGTTTCTTTCCCAGCTCCTCCAGAAATTGCCATTCTCCCTTCCCAAAGGGATGTGTGACGCTGCACCCCACCCGTTCAGGGCACCACGGGGGGTTTGTGTGGTCCTTTTGCACCAGTCAAGGCCATTTCTGGCAAAATCCCTCAGGCTCTGGGGTGCCTTGGGCAAGGAATTCTGTTTTCCTTCTTGGACTGGGTGCTCTGGGCCCCACTGGCGCTTGGAGCAGCTCCACAGCCTCGAGGGTCAGGGTTTCTGGGGGCTGAAGGAGGGGTGAGTGATCAGGCAGGATCTTTTGAGAGACATTTGAAGCAACAAATAGTTAATTGGGATGTGATTGTGTCTCTAGTTGCCGTTTAGTTGTGTCTCTGAAACTTGCCTGCAGTAAAATGTGGATACAGAGCTGGGGCAGACCCTGACAGGGCACCTCAGGTACAGTGACCCGAGCCAGAAAAGCAGCCATGGACAAACTCTGGGGTGTGATGTCACCTCCCTGCCAGCTCTGACTGCAGGAAAAGCACAAAAATCTCCCAGCCCAGAAGGTTCCAACATTCCAGCACCATCCCAGTAAAGGGGGGGTTTGCAGGTGCCATCCCTGTGCTTCCAGGTGCCACCCCTGTGCTTCCAGGTGCCACCCCTGTGCTTCCAGGTGCCACCTCTGGTATCCAGGTGCCATCCCTGGGTATCCAGGTGCCACCTCTGGTATCCAGGTGCCATCCCTGGGTTTCCAGGTGCCACCCCTGTGTTCCCAGGTGCTACCTCTGGGTTTCCAGGTGCCACCTCTGGTATCCAGGTGCCATCCCTGGGTATCCAGGTGCCATCCCTGGGTATCCAGGTGCCATCCCTGGGTATCCAGGTGCCATCCCTGGGTATCCAGGTGCCATCCCTGGGTATCCAGGTGCCATCCCTGGGTATCCAGGTGCCATCCCTGGGTATCCAGGTGCCATCCCTGGGTATCCAGGTGCCATCCCTGGGTATCCAGGTGCCATCCCTGGGTATCCAGGTGCCAGCCCTGGTTTCCAGCTGTGTTTCTCCAAAGGGCTGTAGCCCCTGCTCAGGTTGATCCCGTCACAGCCCCGGGGCTGCCAGGGGAGGGAGGATTTGCTCTGCACATCCCTGGAGAGGATCCTTGTGGTTCCCCCCATTCAGAAAACGCCTCCCCTGGGCCGGGGCTTTATCTGCTCAGGGAGCAGCTCTGCCCCTTGGTGCAGACAAATCCCCTGTGCTTGGAGCCAGCAGGGCCTGGCAGCCACCTCTGCTGGCCCGAGGAGTCTCTGGTAAGAGCAGCTCTCTTCTCCTTCCCTCCTTCCAAAATGTGCAGTAGCTTGCCTCATGTGCCTCCTCCTCCTCCCTGCCTTCTGCTGCTGGGAGGATTTTCCTGGTTCTGTTGCTTTGGTGAGCGAAGCAATTCCTCTATTAATTTGTTACATTTTAGGATTAGAAGAGAGAAAATGAATACAGCACAGAACAAGTGCAAAATAATCTTTGTGAGAGCGGGAATCTGTTCTGCCACATGATGCACCGGTTTTTTTCCCCCCCTTCCCCCTTTCCCTCGCCGGAGCAGCTAAAAGCTGCTGTAATTTATAAATTGGCTGTGGATATATTCAGTGTCAGACTGGGAGGGCTGGCCCAGGCTGCCCTGGGAGGCCGAGCACGGAGCTTGCTGCTCTCCCTTGTCCGTGGGCTCTCACCAGCAGAGGCTCCAGGCAGCAGAACCGCCTTGGAAACCGTCTTGAGCA